AATAACGAAGGAGATAGTGGAGATTGTTTATCAGCGAAAAGGTCTGCTTTGATATGTTCAGCATTATTATTATGATCATTATTATGATCTAACGATTCTTGACATTTTAGGTACTTTGGCACTGGAGAATCTTTTGTGTGGGTGCTCGAGGAAGAGCTTGAGCTTCCCATAATTTATGGCTGGATTGGTAACAATAACGAGCATCCAGATACCTGCCCACAGATGTTTATGGCGGCTGGCGATAAGTTGCTTGTGGTGAGTGTCTTTACAATGGTTGTCGTTTTGACGTGTCACTGAAATACCTTAGGCCGATGTCAGACTTTGCGAATCGCGCGATTCGCTAGCGTCCGCGGTCGCGTTGCGGTACCAGCCAATTGAGTGATTCACTGGCCGCGACGCGACCGCAGACGCTAGCGAATCGCGCGATTCGCAAAGTCTGACATCGGCCTTACTTGGTAACATCTTTGCTGCCATCGTTTCTTTAGCTTTACGTTTCGCGATTTTCGTGGTGAAAAAGACATGAGTATTTCGAATGTATTGTATTAAGACAGGACGGATAATCATTTTATAGCGTTCAAAATGTGTTTAGAAAAAGAATGAGGGTATGACGGAAATCAAATATGTTGTGATACGCCAAATATTCCACTCCCATTCATATTCATAGCGACAGTAAAAATTGCCTAACTATACAATAACCGTTCTAAGGTTAGCCTATCTCATAGATATTGCCTTTTAGGTAGCTCTAGTAACATATTGCCAAATTTTCAACCAAGGAGCATTTGATTGAATTCGTGATCTTTTACAAATAGGGGGGGGGGGATCGGGCACATTAGGCCGTTGCCTTACTCTGTTTAAAAAATGTGGTAGAATCCAAGGTTTTTGCTCAGAGAAGAAGAAAAATAAGTAAAGTAGAGCGTTTTAAGTGATGAGAACAACAAATTGTAGAAGTGAAATTGAGCACATCTGAAGTTCTGGGACTCACACTGGTGAACTACTTTACCGACTTTCCTGACGAGAGGTCTCCACTTCCCACAATTTCACTGACGTTTGTTCCGTAGATAAGTAGTCGCCCTGCGTTTTACTGGAAGCTTTTAACCAGAAGGCTTTTTCGCAAAGTTTCATTGCGATCTTATCTCAAGCGTTTCTTGTGCCTTTTTCCTCGGTAACTGGAAGTGAACATGAGAACTGAGGGTAAGATTCACGAAGGTGAACTCCGTTCTTGTCATACAAGCGATTTTTGTGTTTGTTGTGTTTTTGAAAATCACTCTCAATATTGTGCTGTTGCTGCCGTTGGACTTCAATAAAATGAACTTGAATTTACAGCCTTTTTTGGGGCTTCTATAGTTTACCAACCACTGAACTTCTCTCCTTTGTGCATTACACTTTTATAACTTGGCCAGGCACGGCCTCGGGTTAATGGCGCTAGATTACGAGAGGCGATTTAGATCGGTATCAGTTTACTTAAGTGGAGCGTTTCAGATCGGTTCTGGAGACGGAGATTCGATTCGTATCTCAGAGGAGCTCACCCACGGTATGTCGTCCGCATGTCAGACTTTTGGCAGCCCGGCTCTAGTGCCAAGTCGCAGCTTTGATATTCATGAGCTGGAAGTCTTTGACGTCCTCACTGGCTCATGACAGAATGAATGGGTCACCTTTTTACTTTTCATTATTGCCATATTTTCCGCGTTCATGACCATAGATACGTTGGACAGCCTGTTGGATGTTTTTTACTTGAGGCACGTGTTTTAGTTTTATTTCTGTAGATAACTATATTAGCTATTTGTCTATAAAGTTCTTTATTTTTGAATAATAATGGCTATTTTTCACTTGTCATGACTTGATTTGTTTGTGTTATCTTGAGTTTCTTGTCATATAACGTCAATCATTCGCCCGCCACAGTCTTTTCATTGTGATGTCAAACCTGCCTCGTCTACTTAATATTTAGTTGTGAGGTTTTGTTTTGAATTTTTCTTTCTGATTTTGTATGACTTAATGTCGATTACGGGTTGCGCTTTCATCCAGTGAATGTGTACAGTCCAATGACATCATACTGGCAATACAATTTTATTCTACTTTTGCGTTTTACTACTGTCTCATGCTAGAATCTGTCGTCGTTATGGGGTGAATGTCATTTGGTTTCTCTCTTCAGGTGTATACTTATGTTATCACGTTAGTCAATGTGAGTTCTTACATACCAGTTTTGTAGTTATTGTTGTTGTGTTCACTTTGAAGCTTGCGTTTCTTACAGATATCGCAGTAGCGATTTCCATGTCAAGTTGCACGGCTTAGATTCGTGCAACTTCATTATGCCATATAGCTTTAATACTTTTCCATCTTTGTGAGTCATAGTAATGAACCAATAAGATTTCAAAACGATTTATACGGGTTTTTAGAACTCGACTGATTGGTAAAGGACACCAGAATTTGTTTTTATTTGCATTAAGCGTAGAAATATGAATGACGAATCGGTCTATCAAGCGTTTTTAAAGATGCGTTCATGCTCGACGCTTTGAGAGAGCAGGAGATCAGGAGACTGCTGAAGGGTGTTGGATGTGTATTGATTTGAGAAAATGAGGATTCAGAAGCTGAGAATCTCTGTTCAAACTAATCGTAACTAAATCTTTAGCGAGATTCCTGATCACCTATTTTCCCAATCAATAGTTATCCATTTTTCACTTCCTAACTTGCTTTTGCACCGCGTGGGACAAGAGCGATTTTGCGAGCGCAGCCGCCGCACACCAAATCCATGGATTTTAAGTTGTAAATCCGCAATACTTAGATGCGATGAAATGTTTTCAATGATGTTCGATCTGTCTAGCTTATCAGGAGTTACAGTAATGGAAGTTTGACCGAAATGACGTGTTAAGGCCATGAAAAGGGAAATTTTACTTAATTTCCCTTTAGTGGTTCCAAAATTAATTTGGACGTGGTTGTTTCAGTAAAAACACATATCTTCCCATACGAATAGGTTTGTATTCGCTTCTGTTATTCCTTTTTATCAACATGTCTAGGTTATTGAAAAGAAAACGAGGAATGAATCGAAGCAGAGTATCTCATGAGGTCTGGAAAACTCTACCAACTAAAGATATTTTGACTTTGTTGACCCTTGGCTTTAGTATGCTAATGTATGACCTACGAGAATTGAGTTACAAAGACCTTAGGAATAAGTCGCACAAGCGCAAGAAAAAGGGAATGACTTGGGTGGGACGCGTTACCGCGTCACAATGTCCCACGAGGTGCGCAAAGTGGGACGCGTTACCGCGTCACGAGTGTCGTCAACGTGCGCACGTGGGACGCGTTACCGCATCACGCTGTCGTCAACGTGTTAATGCAAAGTATTATCCAAGCGTAGTGCCAGTAGTGTGTCATAGTTCTCCTTCGCTATTTTTTTCTTCCTTATTTGATCTCCCTGTATTTTGATTGCGCTCCCCCATTTTGCGTGGGACGCCGGCTGCAGCTTAATTTTCTCGGCTGCTTATTTTCTCAAGAATTTCGCAAAATAGTGGGGATGGGTGTATTTTTGAATGATAGCTTCAAGAGGCCACTAATTCGGGAGGTCCATTTACAGGTCCGGCTTTCTAAGGCGGTTTATGATAAGTGAAAGGCATGCTACACATGGTTCCGGTTCTGAGTGGCGACTCTGATGCTAAAGTGTTGGCAAGTTCGAGTGAGTCACTTTTTGATACGCAATGATTAGTTTCCTCACATGGGTTACTGAATGGTCCTAGTGCAAGGTATCCACACTGTAGGGGTCACATTTGCGGCATGTGCAAGCTGTAATAGAGATACGAACTGGCATTAAGGAGAGTCAAACGTGTTCAATCTTTTTGGCTGCAAGAAGTCCTAGCTCATGAATTCCTTAAAGTTCGCATAATGGCCGGACGCATAGTCGGTCGGACGACAGCAACGACTGCAAGTGTCGCACAGCATTGGGTGCGTATCGATCTGCGACAGCAGCGGTCGGACGACAGCAACGACCGCAGGTGTCGCAGATCGATACGCACCCAATGCTGTGCGACACTTGCAGTCGTTGCTGTCGTCCGACCGACTATGCGTCCGGCCATAGAGTTAATCAGTGCCCTGATTAGGAATATGACACTCGTTTTTGACGATGGCGCCACCTACTGACGACAGTGGAGCCAAAATTCGCGTCAATTATCCCTAATAAAGTTCAAAGAAAAAATTCGACCATCTTCGGGGTTGCATTGTTGCGAGCTTGCAATAGAAAACCTAAGAACGGACATTCCCTCGATCTTTCTCCCTCACAACTGCGTATACGGCAACCGCCCTGACTTACCATCGATGCCATCAACAGTTAAAAAGGACGCGTCCTGCCGAAACTGAGGAACTGGGTAAAGTCCTAATAGTATTAATTTAACGTGGAATATAATACCACAGATTAAAACTATGGCTCTGGACACGAACGTGGATGACGGATGCTGTCCCCACGTAGGCGAGCTAGGTAGGTGATACAACGCACCCTCTGTTTCAGAAGACCAGAGGGGCGTCGAGTGCAGACCACACAACAAGTGACGGCGACCTCTACAAGAATGTAAATGTTTTCTGCCAATTAAATGATTAGCCATTTCTTCGAGGCCGTGTCACTTTTGATGTATGGTCTGCACTTGGCGCGCTTCTGGTTTTCTGAAACAGACGACATGAGAGTTCAATATTGCACGCAAATCGGCACAGTACAACAGCTCATTTGAAGCTGAGGCAGTAAAAAAAAGTACTGGGCCTCTCCTCGTTCCATCATTGTAACTTGCTGAAATGGTTCCGAATTGCGTCGGACGGGGCTTCTGTGGTGGAAACGGGTGTAAGATCCGTAATCAGAACGCCAAATTACTCTCTATTTGGAAGACGAGAAGAGCGTCGAGTGCAGACCACACACCACAAGTGACGACGGCCAAGAAAAAGTGGCTTTTTTCTTGGCCGTCGTCACTTGTGGTGTGTGGTCTGCACTCGACGCTCTTCTCGTTTTCCGAAATAGAAGGCACCCCCACATGAGAGTTTTTGGCAAAGTGGAAAAATGTGTGACGGCAAACTAGCATCAACTGACGTCAGCGGTAAAACTGTATTTCATATTCGTGATCAGGGCACTGAATTATCTCCTACAGGTGAAGCTTTGGAAAAGAAGTTGTCTAATTTTCTTGGGGTTGCAACAGCGCAATAGTGCCAAGCACAATTCCAAGTTCCATGCACATGTCTCTACATAACCCAAAGACGGTTGTGAAAAAGCGAGGCATGAATTGAAAGACTTCATGGTAGGAAATGTATCAGCCGCTCGACGAATCATTTCATGACCTGTTGAATGGCATTAAACGTATACCTCTGGATCGGCCGGAAAGTCCCGATATGGATCGTGATTAGTGCGCTTTGGCGATTATGCTGATGGGTAAACACTACGTATCGATCCAAAAATTCGGCGATTATGCGATAAAGCGATTTTGCGATTTGGCGATTATGCTCAAAGGACTGAGTGCCCATTGGTCGAATTGACCATGCGACATGTCGACGATCCTTACGTCGATACGTATACACCCCTTTCAACATAATCGCTGAATCGCCAAATCGATTAGTTGCCAAATTGCATTAATCGCGATCTATAAACGGGGCCCAGCAAACAGTTGACCCTGCCGCACAGGGTTGGGTATGACTCGTAGGATCGTCCTACGAATATTACTTTATTTGAATAAAGGCGTTCTTCATCATATTGCCATAGTCTATTATGGACTTGTCCAAAACATTCATGCTGTGCGTACAGTTTTGGCGAGATGGGAGATGCCATTACCTCAAGGCTACGCGCATCCAAATTGGTGAGGCTGCAGTTTAGGCGAGGAATGTCGGCAGCCAAATAATTCAAATAATTTTGCTAACAAAGACTCTTCATATCATTTCTCCTTGGATGTTTTCAATCTGTGTGATGATATTCTGATTCCTTCATTTCTTCCCAGTTTCTGAGTTTCCATCGTGGAGAATGTTTCTACGTTTATGCTTCTTTTTTCTTTCTTTGAAGATTTAATGTCGTCTATTTTCATGTGGAAGGCAGATTTGTGCCCATTTCTCATGTTTGGATTTCTGTTGTGCTGTATTTGTATCAATCTTTTAATTATTGTGAAAATCTCTGAAAGCATGGTTGTGTTAGTGAAGGGTTTTGGTTCTTACACAAATTGTAATGACTCATTTTTTCTACGTAGGCTTACAGGAAGGTTCCAGGAAACACAGTTTCTGAAACGGGTTTTTGCTGATATAGGGGTACGTGCATGGCCACAGAACTGTGGTTCTTAACCTGAGATGAAGCTCTGAATACAAAACGAGCGAAGAAAGACTTCTTGAGAAACTGGGTTCTCACTTTCTTTCCGTGTTTACGTAATCTCGTGTAGGTTGGTTGGTTCTTATTCCTATAATTGACTAAGTTGTTCACGCTGAGTATTTTTCGCGGGATTTTGAAACGAACACCCAAATGGCACAATTGTCGCTTGCGGGATTCGAGCGCGGGCCCACTTACACCCTTCTTAGATTTTTCTTCACCCCTTTTTTGGTATTCAGAGGGCCGCTCAGGAAAAATGAACTACAGTTCTGTGTTCCATGCATGTACCCCTATATCATGCAAAAAACCGTTTTGAAAAAGCTGGCCATTTCCTGAAAGACCTTCCTCGTTAGTGTGATTTGTGGTGCTTGATGAAATTACCAAGTATCAATTTTTAAAAGGCTAGCTTATTAACTGGCTGAAAAAACTTTTTCGTGGTGCAAACAAACTCCAGAGTTTTCCTCTTTTAGCTATCGCTAGTTTGTCTCGCGTGTGCTTTCGTTATGATCTACATGCGTAATTTTCGAACCGTTCGTGAATCTTGGTTATTTGCTGTATGTTTTAGACCCATGAAGGGGTCGGCTGTAGAGAAATACGCGCACGATGCTTTACAATTCATTTTTCCGAAGAACTGTTTTGAAGAGCTGATAATCAACTTCAATGTCTTTCATCGTGAGCCTCCTCTTGTTTAAAAATCCATTTATTTATTTTTTTCTACGATTAATCATGTTCGTTTAGCAACATGTCCAAAAATGGTATTAAGTCGTGTCCTCGGAATCGGTATTACAGCCGGTTCTATCCTTCTTTTTGTACCTCAAATTATAAAGATCTTCAATGGAAAAAGCGCCAAAGTGAGTTTGAACGAAAGTTCTAACGTTATTCTGGACCTTTTAGCCATTTCCAAAGCTTTTCCTTTTCAAAATAGAAGTCCATAAAGGGTGGAATCATACGTTGCAGTTTGGCTTGCAATTTGAGTGCGGAAAAGATACATATCGATCGTGCGATCGGATGGAGTTTGCGATCGCGCGATCGATACTCATCTGTTCCACACTCAAACTGCAACCTGAATACGAAGTATGGTTATATTCTAAGCGCGGTTTTCAGGGAATCTCTCTCATATCGCAGCTCCTTGCACTTGTAGCCGCCGCAGGCACTGCCTCATACAGCTTTAACAAAGGATTCGTATTCAGGTAAGCGAAATCTTGATCTTACATAATTTCCGCTCAACGTTTTATTTTCAGCCAATGGGGTGATTCGTTTTTTGTTTCTGTCCAATTGATGATTATCGTCATGCAGATTTTGTATTATTCGGACGCTAGTGCTTACGCTTTTGCATTTTTCGCTTTCTGGTTTGTTTATTTTATTCATGGTTGTTCCATCCGATGTTCACGCTGCTTAACGTAATCCTTTAGCTGGGCATTCGTGTTTGCTGTGATTGGAAACTATATTCCGTCTGAAGTCCTCACTATGATACAAACTCTTGGCATTCCCATCACGG